TCCATTCTCACAATGCACTTCTCACCCAAAGTGTTGGGCCTCCCAGAAGTTATTCTGGAGGACATCTTCAACAGTCCCTTAAAACTGGCCATGCTTGCTATGGGCTTCTGCAAGTTAACATCCAAAACATGAAAAGGACCAAAACGTCCCCATTCCTACCATAGCTTGTTAAGTGATACGGAGAAAGCACTCTCCACAAATCAAGGGCTGTCAAAAATTTCCCCATGGTGCCCTCCTTAAACATACTCCTTGCTGGGCTGCAGGTGATACAAAGAATATTTTTAAATAATTGATTACAAGCAAAGTCTTCTGCTGTGCTGCAGCATGGAAAAATCACAATGGGGAGTTCCTCAGAGGGCAGGGAAACATAGCCTGAAATATCCAAACTGACAGCAGCACTGACCTTGAAAATGTGTGTGTTCATCTCATTCAACTTTGACCATTTTAAAAATGGCTAAGGCACAAAGCCTACTGCATCTGTGGACTTGTTATCCAGACGGTATTGCACAGAAATAAATCGATCAATAAAGTTTCAGAATTATTCATGGATTTGAGAACTCTGATAAGTGGTTGGAACTTTAAAGCATACCTTAATTAAGTGTGGATTAAATCCAAGGCAGCTTTAAATCCCTTCTTAATACTGTACTAAAGGCAAAATTTCCATTTCAGGATTATATTATCACATCCTCATTTTATTCTCAGTAAGCCAACACAGAAAGTCTTTTGCAAAAATCTTTCCTTCTTTTCTCTTTATGAAGATAGAATCATGCTCTCTGCAATTCTAGTGTTGTGATTCCTACTTCTAGAACCAAAGACAAATAATCCCACTCCACTTTCATCAGATATTTACAAAAGTGCAAAATCTCATGTTTTTGACTGAACCTCTGGAAGCTCCCCTCTCTCTATTCCCCCCATAGAGACAATTTACTGAGTTCATGGTAAGAAGCAGTAATTTTGTTGATGTCTACTCAAATTAGGCAAAAACGGAGTTTTGGTTTTTTGTACAGAATTAAAGATAGCACAGGAAGTGAAGCCTCATGTATAGTTTGCTCGGAAAAGCAACAGAATAACTTCACATTACTAAATACTTCCTTATGGTCCTCAAAGCCAAAACTTCTATTTTTTCAATATCATCAGGAAAACAGACATGTTTATTTAGTCATGCACAATCCATGTTTCTCTCCAAAATGACGGAGGGAAATACATTTGACACTAAAAGGAGTACATGACGTAAGTAGAGCTGTCCCCTCCCACATTACCTCACCAGGCACCATCACCTTACTTTTCTTTACAGTAATGCTCAGATGCCACATCACTAGTCAGGTAGGAAATCTTTGAAGAAACTGAAAGATGGAGGAGAAAACGATTCTCAAGATGTCTGAAATTATTTATTGTGCCCATTGTGTTTTGGAATTACTATTCATTCTTAATGGCCTTTATGTTCCCATACATTTCCAAGTATGCTCTGGTATTGCATTCTCTGCTGAAACAGAGATGAGAACTGGGAGAAAAGGGGATTTTATTTGCTAAATGCAATGGGTCAAATAAATAATTCAAGTATTCCGAGAACTGACTCTCTGTTTTGACTTTTTTCTTCTGGCTATTAAATGGCTTCACTTTTATCATTTTCCTAAAGAAAAAATTGAGCACTGCAAACTCACTCAACCACATCCTCTTTTAAACATCCTTTTTGCTCCACTGAAGTAAACTCATCACACACTACTCTTTGATTTCTCAGTCACACAAAGAACAAGTCCAGGTGCCCCTTTGACACCTGAACATGTGAATTGTTTCATTTTTTAATAATTAAATACCAAAACCCAAAGGAAAGGTATCTATCACTAAATAGCAAATGCATTCTTATCCTATAGCTATATGGTGGGACTATTAAAACTAGCAGTTTCTACAAGTCTATTTGAGCTGGCCTCGTTTCTGACAATTCCAAGAATGAACTTTTTTTAAAACAGAAGATTATTCTATAAACACAGAAAAATCTGTTGTCTGTTCGTCAAGGAAACAAACCCAAAACAAAGAGCTGTCTCCTGAGTTTTTGTTTGTTTATTTTATTTTAATTTTTTGCTCATCGACTTTACAGTTCAATGCAGTGAAAACAAAGAATGAAAAGACAGGAGACAAAAATGAGATACTGCAGCTGTGCAGCCAAGAACTAGTAACAGAATGCAGTTCATCAGACACACTCAGAATAAAAGTAATACATGAAGAACAACAGTGAAATTTCATGCAAATTGTGGCACTAGTATCTGTTTCTATGCTTCCAGGGACAGAGAGATCTACATGTTTTTCACATATTCCTTCTTCCAAAAGAAAAAAAAAAACAGTTTTCTGTTCTGGCATTGTTTTGACTGAAAGCATGAAGAGCTAAATCAATGGGGGGGGGGCACTTCCACCCATACATTCCCCCTTATCTAGATCTTTTCAATGTTCTGTGAGGTCTGCAGGGATGTTCATAAATGGGTTCAGATGACCACATTTCCAGTGCTTCCATGATGAAGAGCCCTGCAGGGCTCTCCATCACAGAAGCACCATAGGTACATCCAAGTGAATGTGCTTACATGTGCTGTTGCAGCCCTTTGCACTGCATTGATGGTCTGCTTTACTCCTAGTAGAGGACTGCTTATGCGCACACCTCCATTCCCTATCACCAATATAGTCCTTCATGGTTTCAGACATAATGTACCTAAATAAGGCTATGCTTTCTCCAGAAAGAAAACTTTCCTTCCAAGAACAAAAAATCTAGGAAAAAGCAAATCCCTGCAAAGTGAGCAGGCATTTAATTTTCAAAAAATATATTTATATTCCTCAGATTTATGAGTCTTTGTTGTTCATTATTCTCTGTGGGGTTTATCAAAAGCCATGCCCTTCCCCACATCTAAATTAGAATTCAGAAAGGGATTAGAAATGGAGCTCATTGTTGAACAAGCAGAAGCCACTGTGTTAGTCATGCCAGGACAGATGACCAACCTTCCAGTATTTCTATCATACTTGACCACATCCCATTGGCAGTAAGACTGGCAAATTCATATTGCCAAATCTGCACATCCCTTCATCCCTTCTGAACATCTGATCTGTCATTCAACTGAAACCACATAACTCCTCACTATTGATTACAACAGCCTGAGCTGATGGCAAACATGGGCCACAGTTGCTCATTGCTGCTATTTGTAGGATCTTCATTCATGTTGCAGGCTACTTGTCGAAATGTACATCAGTGCAGGGAATTAACACTTCCCTGTTGTATCTGAAAATGTGGGCTGCAAATTTGCAAAACTCATATGGAAATAAATGTGTCAGTCTTGAAGGTTACAATATTTTTGCTTTTGTTATGTCTTTATTTTTACTGTAGTATGTATTTGTTGTTTACAGCAGCAGCTTGCCCAGCATGCTCCAGACAAAGAGGTTAGATTGCGAAGAAGATTACATAATATTAGAATCAACCAAAATGTTACACATGTGTATAAAAGACCTGCACCTAACCTGCAGGGCAATAGTATCTAACACTTTGAGTAAAAGAAGGAAGTTTTTCTTAGATTTCTCAGCTTGAGAAGAGGAAAATGGAAAGGTTTCAGTTAAAGTAATTTACATCTGCATTAGCAGTATATCTTGCTAATATTTCTCTCATGATTTCTACTACTAAAGTATACACAGGTTATTAAATATACATCCAAATACATTTGAAACAAGACTCCAACACACACACTATATGGTACATATAGGAAGTGCCTCTACCCAATTTCTTACTAATAAAATAAACAAAGAAAAGTACTAACAATGTATTCTCGAAGGCTTTCACGGCTGGGATCTGATAGTTGTTATGGGTTTTTCAGGCTTAAGAACACGGCCAAAGAGCTCCGAAAAACCCACAACAACCAAAAGTACTAACACCCAGGCTGAATTCAGTAGCTTGGACTCAAAGAACTCACAGATATCTCTGTATGCTATCAGGGCTACTAGGTTCTTCAGCAACAACCCATGCCACATGGCATGCTACATGTGAAACTGAGAAGACTTTCAAATGGATGTGTCTACGTTTACTGTTTCATGTCAAAAATCCCATTGGGCATTCCCATACCTGAGCCCATGGGCACAGCTAAACTAGCTCTTTGGATCCTGGCCCATGCATAAAAAATAGAGAATGTACAAGGCAAGATTGCACATAGGATAAATCTTAACTATTTAAGTAGCAGATAGACAACATCTGTGTGGGCTGTATTTGCTGAGATACTTCAGAGTTACTTTAAAACACACCATCAAATCAAATTGTGATGTCCTAACTTCTAAAGAAAAGTGTAAGATACAAGGATACTTTTTTGCTGCTATTTGCAGGATCTTCATTCATGTTGCAGGCTACTTGTCGAAATGTACATCAGTGCAGGGAATTAACACTTCCCTGTTGTATCTGAAAATGTGGGCTGCAAATTTGCAAAACTCATATGGAAATAAATGTGTTAGTCTTGAAGGTTACAATATTTTTGCTTTTGTTATGTCTTTATTTTTACTGTAGTATGTATTTGTTGTTTACAGCAGCAGCTTGCCCAGCATGCTCCAGACAAAGAGGTTAGATTGCGAAGAAGATTACATAATATTAGAATCAACCAAAATGTTACACATGTGTATAAAAGACCTGCACCTAACCTGCAGGGCAATAGTATCTAACACTTTGAGTAAAAGAAGGAAGTTTTTCTTAGATTTCTCAGCTTGAGAAGAGGAAAATGGAAAGGTTTCAGTTAAAGTAATTTACATCTGCATTAGCAGTATATCTTGCTAATATTTCTCTCATGATTTCTACTACTAAAGTATACACAGGTTATTAAATATACATCCAAATACATTTGAAACAAGACTCCAACACACACACTATATGGTACATATAGGAAGTGCCTCTACCCAATTTCTTACTAATAAAATAAACAAAGAAAAGTACTAACAATGTATTCTCGAAGGCTTTCACGGCTGGGATCTGATAGCTGTTATGGGTTTTTCAGGCTTAAGAACACGGCCAAAGAGCTCCGAAAAACCCACAACAACCAAAAGTACTAACACCCAGGCTGAATTCAGTAGCTTGGACTCAAAGAACTCACAGATATCTCTGTATGCTATCAGGGCTACTAGGTTCTTCAGCAACAACCCATGCCACATGGCATGCTACATGTGAAACTGAGAAGACTTTCAAATGGATGTGTCTACGTTTACTGTTTCATGTCAAAAATCCCATTGGGCATTCCCATACCTGAGCCCATGGGCACAGCTAAACTAGCTCTTTGGATCCTGGCCCATGCATAAAAAATAGAGAATGTACAAGGCAAGATTGCACATAGGATAAATCTTAACTATTTAAGTAGCAGATAGACAACATCTGTGTGGGCTGTATTTGCTGAGATACTTCAGAGTTACTTTAAAACACACCATCAAATCAAATTGTGATGTCCTAACTTCTAAAGAAAAGTGTAAGATACAAGGATACTTTTTTTAAAAAAAACCATTTAACACCAAGTAAGAGACAGACAGAGTATATTTCTACAGCTGACCACCTCTTGTTTTTTTTTTCTTAGTTAGATAGCCAAGGACAGATGTACTAATCAGTAAACACCAGTTCATTCTTGACAGTCCCACATTTTTAATGCTGAAAACTGCATTTTTTCTCTTTAAAATATTTTTAAGTAGAAAAAAACAGCTTCGTAGGAAGAGGATATGGCCACATGACATCACGGAAGGTCAATCCACCAGTGCTGTGCAAAGCCAGCTTCAGTTCCAAATAAGCTACATTCAGGTTTTGAGAGAAGATGGTATATCTGAACAAAACACAATCACTGCACTTCCCTTGGGGACCCACACCAAAGTACAGTATGTACATTTAGCTGTGGTCTTTATGAGTCTTCAGTAGTAGCTTCCACCTTGCGCTGGCTCCGAAAATGGCGCTCAAGATTGACAGTCACCTCCCTTTGTAAGTTTCTGCTGCTATTTTTTCCAACAGTGTGGATCCACAGATGCTGGAGAACCTGCTGAGCGGTGCATCGCTTTTTGGGATCAACCACTAAGAGTCTGCTGATGAGATCTTTTGCAGCTATTAAGGGCAGAATCATGAACAGTTAACATGAGCTTGTTTTGAATAGCTTCTCAACTTGAAAGAATGTAGAAATAGATCTGAGTGAAGACTCAAGCCCTATTCAGGCATTCTACAGTGCTTGAAGAATACATGCCAGAGTTTAGAAGCCTTATAATGCTCCAATATCACTCTCTTTGCATGGAGAGCAGAAGTCTTAAGTAGAAACCATCCTGTACATGCTTAGTCCTACCATGTGATTCTGACCCCTGATTTTCCACTGTTCAGACTCATGTGGAAAGACTCCATACATAGAGGAAACTTCTCCAGAGGTTACTCTTATCATTTTTATTTCATTCACAAAACAATCATTTTGTTTGGCAAATCATTATTTGGTCATAGAACTCAACGTAATTGCCAAAGCTAAATTGAAAACAGAAATTCAATTCATTTTGTAGAAAAAGTGATCAGCACGGTGAACCCGGCACTTATCCACATCAGACTGCTGCTTGCCATGTGAGGAAGCCAATAGTAGGATGGTAGGGCTAAAACATACTTTACTCTTAACATGTTTATTTAAAGCACTTTTGAATGCCTGAACTGAGCTTCAGTGCATGGCAGTACTGTGACACACGCTAGCTGAAATCCTGTTGCTTAGTGTAACAAGCTGCTATCAGAGCAGGCCTATCAATTCAATAGAACTCTTGGAAGAATTGACTCACCAAATCCCTGCTGATTCGATCCGATACTCTAGTTGCAACTAACTACACTGAGCAATGGGATTTCAGCTACTGTTTCATTTCTTAGTCATTAAAAAATATACAACAGACATTATGATTTCAAAATGCACTGTAAAGATCTATAGGCAGGCCATGAGACAATGTAAGGATAAGGTATAAAACAGCAATTAAGAAGATAATGGCTGGAATTGCATTGGCATAGCTGTGCAGGCATAAGTAAGGATGGCATCATCAGTCTGCAACTTTACCCCTTAATAATTTAATTTAATTTAATTTGGGGTGTTTATTTTAGGAAGCTTACCAGATGAAATATTGTCCCAGTATGGTGAAAGAAATTCATAATGGCCAAGTTGTATGATTTGAAAGAGCTCCTCTTGATCTCGTTCATGACTTCGGAAGGGGGGGAAGCCACAAAGCAAAATATAGAGTATTACACCAGTAGCCCACATGTCCACTTCAAGTCCTTAATTTAATTTGGAGTGTTTATTTTAGGAAGCTTACCAGATGAAATATTGTCCCAGTATGGTGAAAGAAATTCATAATGGCCAAGTTGTATGATTTGAAAGAGCTCCTCTTGATCTCGTTCATGACTTCGGAAGGGGGGGAAGCCACAAAGCAAAATATAGAGTATTACACCAGTAGCCCACATGTCCACTTCAAGTCCATAGCCTAAGAAGAAAGAAAAATAAACTCAAAACCATGTTCTATGCAAATCATTTGTAAGAAATTGTTGTTCCATATTATAAAAAGTGAATGGAATATCTGATTTAGCTGTGCAATTCGCAGTATCATTTCAGATGATCCTTGGATTACACCTGAAGTGCAAAAACTCCTGCAGGAATTTTTCTGATAGGAAAAAACTGCATAGTGAATTTTAACATAATTAGTGCACAAAGTTAAGACAATTCCATGGCAGGGGAAGCCTAGAACAATGTGACAAACAGTTTAATCTCCACTTGTGGCAGAATATTCCATACCTAGAATCTAGATTCTACTACCAATATAATTTGTCAGCTACACAATGAATTACTGATGAAACCACATTCCATGTATGTGAGCTCCTTCACAGGGGATAAGCAACTCTACTTCAATAAGAGGTCTTTTGTCTTCACTGCACCTTGTTTTGTTGTCCTGACTTCAACCCTATGGACCTTTCCATCTCCACTAGCCATGGTTTTAGCAGTAAGTCCCATAGGGCACTCACTGCAATGGGCTGCATAAATGGCATAAGGCTCTGCCACACTGGGAATGTTAGTCTATCATTTAGGTTGGCTCTGAAGAGCCACATCTTACTCTTTTTGCCAGAGGTCCCAGAAAGCATTTGATTTCACAAAAACAGGAGCAGTATCTGCAATGCTGGGGCACCCAGCACAGGGATAAAGCTGCGGAATGTCTACTAAGGGGCGCCAACAGCCCTGGAGATGCTAGTGGACTACCAAGCAGCATAAAAGAGCTGAAGCCTGGAGGTGGAGGCATACCCAGTGGTCCAGAGTTTCTAAGGTCTGAGAAGTCTTCCCAAGGCAACAGAGTCTTGTTAGCCAAAGTACTGCATGGAACTAATATTTTTTAAAAAGCAATCATTCACAATGGCTGCCACTCCATCTAGTGCATAGGTCGGGGAACAGGGATAAATTACCCCAAATGGGGTAAAAGTGACAATCCTGGGGGTAATGAGCAGAGTGCTACCCTCCTCCCTCCCACCTACCCACACCCTCTGCAGCCAAACCTTGAACTGTAAGCACCTCTCTCTGTTACTTCCTTCATTTCAGGAGGGCACTTCTAAATGCTCTGTTCTGTTAGAGATCGGAGAGATAAGCCTCCCTGATTGGTTACAGGTGGGGATTAGCCCCAGGCAATCAATCAATCCGGGGCTTCTGAATGACTGCTTCCTCCGGAAATGAATGCGAGCAAGCAGAAGGTGGGAAAGGAGCAAGCAAGGGAAGGAGGGAAGAAAGAAAGGTGCAAGAGACCGAGGACTTCATCAGGCTTATTTAAATGTAATTGTAGAAAATGGAGGGAGAAAATGGAGGGAGGGAGGAAATGGAGTGTGTGTGTGTGTGTG